TAGTGCAATATAAGTTGAGCCACTGAGTGGTTTACCAACCTTCAAGTAAGGAACTTCAAACATTGATAGTATCGTAAAAATAAATTTTTAAAAATTGTACCACGACCTCAATATATCAGACTAGAACAATAGGTTAAGACCTACTATAAGTCTGCTTTCGGACCCACACTTAAAGGTATTGCTTGAAGTTCAGTCTTTAAACAAAGATACTCTCCATACACACACATTATTGTAACACAGGCTGCATTTAAAAGCCACCAAGAAAGAGTAGATGGGAAAAGGCTATTATAGACCCAGCAGATAAGTAGATGTAATAAATGTGTTGTTGTAGCAAAGTCAAGACATTGCTTCGTACGTCCAACAATGAACCACAAGGCAATAGCCCTGAAAGAAAAAAGTTAATGTGATTAAAAAGAACCAATCAACTAGGTGATTTATAATAAGTGCAATACATAATGGAAGTTACATACCCAGTAAGACTGTTTAAAACAAAAGCTGCTATAACGGCTCTTCCACCAAAGTTGTGTATGTGTATTTCCTACAAGAAAAATATAGCCAAGTTAATGAGGAGTAACAAAAGTAAATATTTACAAGGTGTTTGTATCTTCAATGCCTGATGGTGGATTTAGTCTCGTAAGGCGAGTCACCTCACGATGTGACCCCTCAGCTGAGGCAGCTCGCTTCAGAGATTTTCAGCCAATCACAGTCTTCAAAAGCCCCTAGAGCCTTAGCTGAATACGCCTCAAAGTGAGGAGACTTGCCTCGCAAGGCTAAATACACCATAGCAGATGACACAACGGAACTCCAAATAGCTCAGCATATTTTAACAAGATGAAATTCCAATAGAAAACAGAGTGGTTGTTTTGTTTCCACTTACCTCATATTTAAAAAGAAGATCTAATGAAGAATTTGATCCAGTTAAAACGTTCACCATAGACAACCATAAACCTAAGCAACTGTAAAAAATTGATTGCATAGCCAGAATTTGGGAGATGATTAAGATGGGATCCCAAATCGTACTCCTAAATTGTCCTCGTAGCTTCTTCATTTCTAAAGTCATAAAATGCAAGATACAGCTGGCAGAAAATATGCTATCATGTAACCTACAAGATAATGCAATGCATCACTTGACAGTTGATATGATCATATGAGAGGGTTGCGACTCTTTGACGAAACTGACATACTATTTGACGCAACTCAGGAAAGAGGGAGCAACCCTTTCATGTCATTCATTTTTCATTTTTATAACCAAATATCAAAATACTTCAAGAAACCACAACATAAACAGAAGACAACTGAAAGCTATGTCTGCCAACTTCTGCACGCGTTCCCGTTTTATTAGCATCATGTGATTTTCATCAAAATGACAAATGCATCCAAAGAATAAATTCATCATGACATCATACTTGGTTTCACCGAAACAGTTCCTTGAAATGTTCTTGATTTTCATAATAATCTTTTAAGTAGAAACCTCTCAATTTTCCTTCTCCAGCAGTTTGTCACCCTGTGACGTGCAAATAATCGTGTCGTCTGCCTGCGTGTGTGTGTACTGTGTATGACTCAAAACAGAAAACCCACCTCTTGCATAATACTAGTTTGAAGTTAATTTTGGTGTTTTAGAACCGTAATTCACTATGGCAGCACGAAATTTCTTAAGTATTAGCGAACGCCTTCTCTTTCAAAATTATCGCTCGGCCAACAGGGCTACTAACATGTGAGTAATTCATCCCAAGTGTTGCCTGTAACCTCTTCAAACTCGATTAATTAATTCTAACATAAATTGAGCAGGACAAAAGCTATGAGATATTCCAAGCAAACTTCGAATCCGAAAACAGAAAAAGATAATGAAGATTTGGATCAGCCAGTACAGTTTACTTCAAGTAAAGCATCTAGCTGGAGTTCGTCAGATCCTGATTACGGGAAATATCGCACTAACTGCCCCAAGTATGAATATTTAGTTATTCAAATTAGTCTGGCAACTTTTCTTATATATTTTTGTATTCTGAGAGAGGAGAGTGATTGGGATGTGGGTTTGTATGATCCCATTTATGGGAAAGTCCCTGATTTGGAATTAGTTGTCTTAAGACAAAAGAAAAAGACTGCAGATGCAGGAGGACCTCATTTCTCTGATGAAGATAGTCGCAGGCTTGAAGAGTTAGAGGAAGAACATGGTTTACGCAAACAATAATAATGTTACTTTATCAGAACGTTTGAAATGTATGTAAGTTCAATGTAGTACTAATTGTAATTTAAGATGTAAATAAACCCTATGAGACAAGATAAAATTATTTGTTTTGACTTAGACTCAAGTCACTGGGTTGGATTTATTAGGTGGATTTTCAGACCAAGACAACATGAACTTAAAACTAACTTAAGAGGCTTATTAGGTAACGCAAATACTGTCATTATTAAACTATTCAAATACTATTGAAATCAAACAACATTTGAAAGTCATCTATGACTAGATACTGAGTTTGAGAACATGATGGAAAATCACAGAGGGGTAAATCCCTTCCTTGACAAAGTGAGTTTCAGATTTTGCATCTTGACTCTTAAGGTGGCCCCAATGAAACCTGGAACCCATTGGCCATCATTCCAGATTTTGCTGTTATTGATGCAGCCCAAGTTTCCCTAAATGTAATTTGGAAGTTTAGTATGCAATAAACACATTTTCACAAATTAGGAACATGTTTGAGTGACCATATACGGGTTTACTCATAAATGATGGGTACTGATGGGTTCCTCATAGAAGCACTCTGATGCCCACAAAATTTGTGAAAATGTGTTTATTGCATTATTCAACTTCCAATTTACATTTAGCAAACTTGGGCTGCATCAATAACAGCAAAATCTGAAATGATGGGTGATGGGTTCCAGGTTTCATTGGAGGGCCACCTGAAATTTGTTAATGAAAAACGAAATTGTAATTTTCAGAGTTGAAACCTATGGAGAGAGTGGTATGACATATTCTCTTCTAGCACCATCAGGTGTTGATGGATATATATAGAACAACATAAGTTGCACAAAAGATAGAAAACAGCCTAAACTGTTTGGTACCTGAAAACAAATAAAAAGATGTGAGCAAACTTGTATGCCAATAATTTTTAATAGGGAAGTGTCCATAAAAAATAGATGTTGCAAAACAGAAGAGATGATATCATTGTATGCATCAATATGTACCGTGATGAAAGGATCATTCAGTATAAAACCATAAAGAAGCCACTGAGCAGATACAAGAAATGACGCAGCTATCATTGGAAATGGTAGGCACTCCACACTTCTGTACCGAATAACATGCATCTGAAAAAAAAAAAAAGTCATGAGAGAAGAGAAAATTTGTCTCTTTACATATTTACTGAAGTTTACTAACCAACTTTGTCATAGGTGCTGCAAAAAATGCAATTGTGACAGCACTTGCAATAAGGCCGACATAAAATTTAGCTACATCAATATTGTCTTCCAAGTAGTAGGTATAGAACAACACCATTAACAAACAAAGTAATGCAGGGGTTAGCTGTTTTATAATCCCCACCTACAAGACAAACAAAAATAAAAGACAAGCTAAATGTCAAAACAAAATTTAAATCTTTCTAACTTATATTTTAAAATTACTACTTTGACCTATCACTTTTGATTTACCTTAGATTTAGAATGAAAAATGTAGATTGATAAATATGAAAAGTGAAGAAAGGCTCCAACAGTATTCACTAGAGTAATTGTTGGATCCTCAATTAAAGTGCCATATCGTAACCATAGGGAACAACTGTGAGAAAGTGAGTACTGTAGTATTTGGATATAGAAATTCAATGTCAATAACAAAGCAACAATAAAAAGACCACAACTTACGATAACAATCCTGTAATGAAGGGTGCATATGAGTCATCCCCTACTGTTTTCCTCTTTAATATTTTATTTGCAGTAAACCTGAAATGATAAACAACGTTTATGACAGATGAACTAACCCCATGAAGCATATGTGAGCACAGAGGGTTGAATGGCATTTTTCGGAAATTACACTCTACTCAGAGATTTTCTCAGAGTTGTTTCGAAAATGGGAATGCCATATATTTCGTTTGGATTTGCTTTTTAGCTCTGAAACAAAGGTTGAAAGAACCTCAAATGAGCTAAGGCCTAAACCAGAAATACGTACATGCCAGTCATAAATAATAAGACTGTGCTTAAAGAAGCACATGATGCTAGAGACTCCTTTAACGCCTCCAATGACATTTTGTGAAGGTTTCTTTCAATGTAACTTAATCTGCGTTACTTAAAATGATGTGGAAGTAATCCAAAACATCGGCAGACGACGGCCAACGGCCGACATACGACAGCCGACCCGATTGCCGATCAACCGGTTGACAGAGACAGACACCTTCTTGGGCGGGAAATTCAAATTACAGTTCGCCTTACGGCCTGTTTCCTTGGGAGTGCAGCGCCTGACTTACTTCTTGAAGAGACCAACAAGGCGAAGCCTCCCTCTCTATTCATCTTTTTTGAAAAGGAAATCTGGATCATGTAATTCGCTTTCAAGTCAATACAGATGAGTTACACCCTCCTTTTTATTTTTCCTCGACCGGCTCGCCTGAGTGGTGTGCAACCCATCTCTCGTAAACCGTGCGTCCTTGCTTTTCAAAAATTAAATCATGTATTGCCGCCTTTACATCCTCTTCTCGGAGTTAGGTGAGGGAAGGATTGGTGATGATCTGTCAAGATCTAGGCGGTGCGGTTAGTTTTCATAGGGTGGTTTGTTTCACAATAAAAGGTCTTAGTTGCGAAGTAAAATATTTTTTATTAAGAATTTTATAAATTTATGTAGGGTATATTTCACCATTCTTCGAAAACCAAGCACAACTGTCGGGTACAGTTACAGCACCGAGAGCATACCATGTTGTGACAAACTTTAACAAGTTAAACATGTGCAGTACATTTTAACTACACAGACAGGTTGGTAGCCTATCTTACAAGATCTGTGGACACAAATACAACCATTTCAGAACAAATATCAATGTACATAAAAGTCTTAATCACATTTCATTTATCATTCATCATGTACAATGTAGGAATTCCCACAAAATCTAAAACTAATTAACTTCTTTGATACACCATAAGGCTACTTCTGCAAGGAACACACCAGGTACAAAGCCATGTGCAAACTGCCATGTGCACATTTCTTCTAAAGCAGTGTTGCTTTCCCAAATCTTGCACATATTGGCAAAGTACACACTATACAGAACCATATGGATCTCCATTTCTGGGAAAAGCTGTACACATACACATTCACCAACCACGAACTAACTTTATATTTAGTTAAATAACAACAGAGTTTGATCAATGCCAATTTGCTCTTTACTACCTAAAACAACTACAAGATATAACATGAAAAGGAGATTTGAAGATTTTAAACCCATTAATAAATAGAGACAAAAAAAGAGACTACTTTAGTTAAACTTACATCATGTGGCACTCTAACAAACAGATGTAAAAGGCCTGGAATGGTTTAAACTTACCAATGAAGAATGGCAACAAGTCTTGAGGGGGAAAGCTACCAAAAGGGCTCACATTTAATTGGACCTTATGCCCCATGGCCACAAAATCTTTGCAACAAAGATGCATTAATTACAGTATTTAAAAATGGTATACCTTGTTATACATTCACCAATATATACATATTCTTCGAAAATCAGTAACTACAATACACAAAACATATGAATATTATCAAAATAAATATGTAATAAATACAAAATGAGCAAGACTAAAAATCATCAGTTCGACTGAACAATAAAGAAATGTAGAGAACTCTAAGGCCCATCCATGCCACATCAGAATTTAAAATGGAAAGGATTAAAAATTTCCTGGAGGGTTGTATGGAAAACATCTCATGCTGCAAATTGTTAAGAGAGGTTTAATTTCTTTCCAAGTCTGAAAAATAGAATGCAGCAATAGACTGACGGGCCAATACTACAGGGGTCAAGATGGACCCTTTGGCAAGAAATAAAAGGTCAAAAACCTTTGACACAGTCCAGGCATCCTGTTTAGGACGGTATAACGCAAACCTCTCTTTACCAAAATTGCAAATTTACCTACGCTTAGTTCACAAACACTAATCTAAATCTACTGTTAAATTAACTTGGCCTATGACAGATGGTCATCTCATAAAGCCAGCTTTAATTTAGGCCATCTTGCCAGACAATAATGAGAATACACACTACCGAACATACAGTTAATTTAATTTGTAGACTGATATCAAGGGGCAAATTACAGTTTATAGTGTTAACTTTAATACAATATTTAGAGTAAAAAAAGAATTTTTTAGAAGCAAACCAAGTCTTTGATAAAAATTAAGATCTCAACTAATAAAATCAACTAAAATATTGCATTTCCTCGGAATACTTCAGTGACAGCTCCAATTAGAAGTCTCTTTAAAACATCAAAACAGGTTCGGCAGGAACAATTACTGGACGGTTCTCGGTCTCTGAAATTTCACCTAAATTCACCAAGCAAAAAAACACAAATTCAGCAAAACAATCCCATATATTTGGGAAGAAAGAAAACAAAAGAGAAAATTTTGCCATTTTGCCCCCCAAAATTGAAAAGTAGTACATCTAATAATAGTAATACAATCATAACAATAATAATAAAGAGGGTAAATATAATTTATATAATCATATTCAGTAAAACTACAAAAAGTAAACATGTAAAGTTTGTGCAAAGTACACAAAGTTTTCCATTGTACCAATGACACGGCGCATCCTTCTCCTGTTTTATGAAAGGAATTTGAATTGATTCCTAAGCATCCATATCAGTTCAGTACTGAACATAAGAATAATACAGGATCAGACAGGAATATTATTAATCAGGTTTACTGATGTTGAACAACTTTAAAAGAAATTAAAAATCTACATATGTACTGTACTGTACATATTTAAAGGTTTTGCAAGGAAAGAAGTGAATTGCCGTGCACAAATTCAAAAATGTCATGACTTTAACAACATAATTATAATATCACAAAAATATGAACCAACAAAACTCCACACTATAATCCTCCATGACATGTATCAGTCTTATTCACAATCTTTGCCACCCCTGCAGAACAAATTGCATTCTGTGTTTTGATACACTATCTTTAGAATGAACATAAGGGTTCCACACTTTTAACACACACCCAGTTGTTGAGGAGTACTAAATAAAAAGTAAAAATTACTAACAGATCAACTTTAGAGTTACTTTGTCACTCTCAGACAAATTCATAGAAGGAAATAAATCACAGCAATGGATGAAACATCTAAGAAGCCACAAAACAGACTCGGAAAAGGACGGAAAACCAAAACAATTAACACAAACAGAATCCCTGCTTATGGGGATTCCTGGTGACAATACAGAATTAAAACCAGCACCATTAGTGAAATTCTTATTTATGACTTGCACACTATAAGAATGAGTAATTATACTGGTTTCAATGGCTATCATCTACACTGGTAAAGAATTGGAAGTAGGGAAACTAGCTCCAAGTGGAACATATACTCACAACTTAGAAATGTGAATATAGATGTACTAACAACTGAGTCAAAAAATCACATTATTTTTAGTTACGTATAAAGTCTTTTCTTCACATTTATCTCATGTTTTTAAAGGTTCTAATTTGGAAAATACATGGAATAAAAGAGGGATTATACCAGCTAACAATATCACACTCTCGAAAACACATCAAATTCACCAATTTAGTGAACATTGCTGCTGACCGGCAGAGTCTCATTCACACAAGCCTTGCTCCCTTTCAAGCCATCTTCACCATCCAATAAAGACGCTTCACCTTTAACTTGTTCTACTGATCTCCTCTTACAAGGTGCTACTAAAACAAAAGTAGTATTTGCAGCTGGTAAATCTAACTTTAGGCGGTCTCTTGTATGTCGTAGTTCACCAAGTCCATGAGATGGAGAGGACGGGGAGAGTGGTGAGGTGGGTGAAAGTTCAGATAAAGGGGAATCACTTCCACTATCAACTTGCAGTTCTTGATTAGAGGGTATAGAATGGTAAATACTGGAGTCTTCGCTACTCTTGCTACTTCCATTTGCAGTAACCATGGGAGTCGAAGACGAATTCGAGTCTCCACTCTGCTGCTGATTAAATGAACCCTCTGAAGCAGTTATCATATTGGTGTCACTACTATCACTATCTGAGAAGTCTTCGGTATGCCGCCAATTTTGATTCTCAGAGTTTGTTGGCAGCCCACTCTTCACTGAATTATGATCCATTGGGCCATCAACTACATCGCCATCATCAACACTGCTAACAGTTAAATCTCGCCCAGGGAAAAACTCACTGCCTCCTGATGGACCTGCTTCTCCCAAAGTGTGGAACGGTTGTGCAGAACTACTTATGAAAAATTCTCCATCCTCAGATAACATGGCTGTAAATGTAAAAACTTCCAGTTAGATAAGAACTTAGCTTTTTCAAACAACACATATTTTAAGACAACACTTACTAGAACCAAAGCCATAATCAGCACTGCTTAACTTGTAAAACTCATAAAGTTTTTGAGATGCAGAAGGTGAAGCAGACAACTGCTCATCTTTTGTGTCATCCTGACAAGATGTCTCAGCCATGCCCTCATTAACAGCTAAATCCCAATCTGAACAAAATTAATGATATCACACTAAAGTCATGGTCAAAATGTAGGTTATAGAGAAAAATTGCTGGATTAATTCTTACCATGCATGTTGTAGGTACTATTTTCCAAATCCCATGTGCGTCGACGACTTGGTGAATCGGCAAATTCAGATCCATCAGAATCACTGAGCTCACGAGGGTACTCATAAACGCAGTGATACCGCTGCCTCTTAAAGCTTACATTTTTCTTATGTTCCTAGAATTGAAAGGAACAAATCAGGGCACTTTTCTCTGTTGTCTATAAAAATAACTTTCAACAATTTGCTTTCAGTTTCTGCAATGAGTTTTGGCCAACAAACAGTAGTAGATATAGCAGTGACAAGCCTATACTTGACAGTTTGCTACTTACAACTGTATTGTTGACTTCCTAATTGCAGCACAAACAGACAAAACCATTTTTCACTACAGAAAAATTCATTTACTTAGGTAAAAGAGAGAATACGTACCACTTTCTTCTCTGGACTACGCAAAGCTGAGCGACTAGGAGTTGCCTGACTGTCCCACGCAGACGGTACGAATTCAGTATCATCCTCAGAGTCTGATGTGCAGCTGCTAGATCCACTATTGTCTTCATCTTCCTCCTCTTCCATTATTGATGACATTGGAAATTCAGTTGTATTTTGGTTGTAAGTCTGCAACAGAAAACATGTATTAGATATAAACCATGCAAATATCTTCCACCTAATCATACCCCAAAACAGGGCAATTTGCCTTCAGGACATCCTTGTAAATAAATGAAATAAAAATAATACAAAAATTCATTATTTTGTTTCAATATAACTTATACCCCTCCACCCCTTCCCCCCAAAAAAGGACAGAAAAAAGATTAAACAATTCAAAGAATGTATATGATATGCTAAAAAAATAAAAACAAACACTTTTTCATCATGCTAGCTTTCCTGGTAAATTACAGTACAAACTGACCTGTTGATCAGGAGCACTACTGAGAGCAGAATCAGGCACAGCATTTACAGCCTTAACAGAGGATTCTCTCTCACCATCCTACACCAACACCAAAAGTATTAGTTAAGCAGAAACGGGAAAAGTCAAAAACAATTAGAAACCATCAACCAATTACAAGACCAAAGAAAGAAGAAATAGATGCCAGATGCAAAACATTTTCAAGCCCAAGAGCCTGTTGACATTTTAGATTAGTACTTTGTGATGCTCTCTCTCTCATTGGGGATAGTAGTGATTGTGAAAGTGGAAAATTTTAGCTTAGGAAGTTGGATTCACACAGATAAAAAAGAGATTTAACTTACCTTCCAGATGAACTCTCCACTAGATGATGATGCAGTTTCGGACTCACATCCATCAGAACCTGACTCCCAATCAGGTGTGAAATGGTCATGATCCTCATACACATCATCGGCTGACATGAAAGACGTTGACATCAAATGACTTTCAGCTTCAGTTGAATCATTTTCTTTGAATATAGGTGACAAGATTGCACGAGGTGACTCCTGCAAAATTAGAACATACCACAGATTGATTTTTCAAGTACTTTATAGGTAGTTCATTTTCAAATTAGTGGATAATCCTACTTACAGGACTTTCATTGAACGCCAAGGTTCCAGGAATTAGTGTTTCATCACTGGGAGTTAGAGGAGCAATAATGGAGCTCACTACAATGTGACCTAGTCCAGGAAAGTTGTTTCTCTCCGTGACATCAGCGTCACTAAATGCTAAAGTTTGTAAGGGCTCATGCATCTCTAAACGAGATTGTTTCAAATTCTTATTTTCAAACTCCAAATCTTCAATTATTTTTGAAGTTGAACTTTGGGAGCCATTTGCAGTACATGGTACACAGTGTGTTGTTTTTTCTGTACTGATGAGATGAGACTTTTCAAGAAAGTCTTCATTGTTGAAGGCTAGTGTCTGAACAGTGGAAGAACACTTACTTTTAATTGTATTTTTTGCCATTTCCTTTAAAGATTGAGGGGATGAACTTGATACAGAACTGCTAAACTTTGCCTCTTCCATAATGAATAGTTTTAAATCCTTTTTAATATCACTACTGGTCAAAGGATCTGATGATGCCAGAACCACATGATCCTCAGTGGCACATGTTTTCGAATCACCAGAGTTAGGAGGGAGAGGTCCAGCAATTACTGAATGAGAGCTAACGCTAACAGAAGATTCACTGTCTTCTGTTGAATGAGTTGCTTCTGTTGATTCCACAGCATCGTCTTCTTTAATAAGAGTTTTATCTGAGGCTGGCGGCAAAATACCCATTGATGCATCCGGCTCAATTATAATTGACTCTACTTCAGAAGACCTCCTGTCAGGACTGTCTGCAGATGGGCCACTGGATGAAGGCACAGTACTGATAATTGTACCAAAGCCCGAGTCACACATTTGTGCTGAAGTCCACTGGGTTTCACCAGCAAGACTGTCTGGTGTCATAACTTCACTAAGTGCAAGTCCTACAGCAGAATCTTCAGTTCTTTCGCTGAAAGATTTTTCGCATGTAATACTATCAGGTGTCATTGAATTATTATCATCTTCAAATTCTATGTCAACTGAACTTTGTGGTAATGTGGCCAATGTTAATGGTCTGTTTCCCAAGTAAAGATCCGAGCGCATTCTTTCAACATTGTTTAGTTTGCTCTCAGGCAACTGATAGCTTCCAGCGACACTTAAGAAGTCAGGGACAAAGTCATCATGGATTGAGTCATCGCACTCATCATTACCAAATGAGAACTTGCCTGTGGGTTTTGGACTCTCCAGAAGAGTAGCTTCATTAGTTTCGGTGTTTACAATCAAAACATCATCATCATCATTTTCATCACCATCATCATTCATGCATAAGTCAATAGAACAAGGTACTTCGTTGAGGCTGCTGGGACTATTGAATTTCAGGTCAAGTGGAAGGGCATCGTGTTCACTTATTTCATCAAAATCTCCACAATCTCCACAGTCATCACTAAGATCACCATCAACTTCTGCAGGGCATTCACTTTCCATATGGCGTACGTCACCATCTCCTTGGTTGCTTGGGCTTCGATCAACGGCAAAAACTGGGCTTAACTGTTCTGAACAGGATGAGCTATTGCAACCACCCAATGGGGAAAAGCTTTCAGAGCAGAGACTTTCCCTTTCTTCTAGAATAGGAGATAAAGGTGCAGGGTAAGTTTTATAATGGATCATAATATTAGTCCTTTCTCTAGACGGTGAATCATCTGAATCTAATTCATCAGAATTATCTTCTTCATCTGAAAGTTGTGGCTGATGTTCTTCGCGTTGCATCTGTGCACAAGGAAGTTTTTCTCGTAACTCATTTCTGATAGCATTTACAAATTCTTCATCAAGATTGAATGAAAAATAGCTACTATCATTTCCACTAATAGGTTCAGCATGAGTTTCTTCATTAACCTGAGGAGGATGTAGGTACCACCCACTACTCTGTGGTATGGGGGAAAGAGCTGGGCTTGTTCCAAAGAAATCAACAGAGGATTCCACATCTACAGAAAGTGGTTCATGCATTTGATCACACCTGAGCAAGTCATCTAGTCGATGACAGGGATCTCTTGATTGATTAATTTCAGCTTCTCTCAACTCTCTTTGCTTTTCAACATCTGTTAATGTTACAGAAAATGACTCATCAACAGCTTCACAATCAGACTCCACACCTTTGTTACTGGTAGGTGAGTCCTGTCTAGCAAAGACTCCTTTGGAGAAAGCTTCCTCCAACTCTGCCTCTATGTCTTCTAAGTTGTATTTCTCATCGCAAGCATCTTCACAACTTTCACTCAAACTTCCTTTATCACGAAAACCTGAATCACTACTTCTCTCATCATCAGGTGTCAGATTTTTAGCAACACCCAAACCAAAATCATCATCATCTTCAAGTATTTCTCCATTAGCATCTTCTTTTGAGTCAAAAGTTTTAGAAAAGAGTGGTATAACGGGCTTGAAACCTTTGTCAGTCAATTCTCCATCTAAGCTTGAACTTGTGTAACAGCCTGTTTCCAAAACTTCAACAAAGTTGCCATTAGGAGTGCCATCAACACTGGTCGGAAAAATGTCAAATGCTGAGTTTTGTAAATCAAAACGTTTGTCATCTGACACAAAATCACGGTCACTTAGGTTACAACATGGCAGATCAGGATCAAATTTAGGTGTATTACCTCCACTCATTTTGATCTCAGGCACAGCAAATTGGTTCTGAGAAAATGAGTCTTTCAAATTCTGATAGACTTTTTCAGAGTCTTCACTAACTATTTTAATGTCACTGATAATGTTATCTTCCAGACAACCAGTGACATCAGGATATTCTTTGGTAACACTACTCACTGAATCAATATCACTATTTGTCAAGTCATTAGGGGTGTTACGGCCAGAAGTAATCGGAGTTGCTGCAATGACATTGACACTAGGAACCACTAGAGAGGCAGGATCTAGCACTTTATTAGTTGATACGGCGCAAGCAGAAACTTGAGATTCAAGTCCTATTTCAGCCTCTTTTCCATCTCCAGATTCAGATGCATCTCCTTGAGGTTGATGTCCATTAAAGGCAGGAAATTCAGAGAGCTTCACATCTAAATGAGGTACAGGGCTCCCTACAGTCAACTTTTCAGGGAGACTTCTCTCAAAGCTGCTTCCTAAAATGTCACTTGAGGCACTGGGGGCATTAGAGTCACTCCCTTGTGATTCTGACTCCAATTTTTGGAAACTTACATCAGAGAAAGAGGGATAATCACAGTTTTCTGGTTGCATAGCATGATCTAGGAATTTGTCCCATGTTTCTATGGAATTTTCCTCTAGATCCATTTCATTTGTAGTATCATAATTTAGAGTTTTCATCACAGGAAATGCTGTTTTCAATCCTTTGAAGTAGTCTAAAGTGGAGTCTTCAAAGGGACCCAGAATAACACATGACGAACTTTCATTTTTTGTCTCAATATCATCTGGAGTGGGAGATGGTGGTCTATTTGCTGGAGAACAGACAATTGAATCACTTTTCTCAGATTCAATGAGGCTTAGTGACTGAGAGCAAAGTAAACTGGAATCCATGTCAAATGTGTCAATATCTGAGTGTCGTATTGAATTAGACTCTCTGGAGATTGGAGTGCTGGCAATTAAGAATTTCTCTCCACTAATACTATTACAGTGCCCATTAATATTCGAGATTTCTTCCTTTCCTTCTTTAAGACTACCCTCCTTGCTTGGTTCACGATCTTCAGAGTAATTCAAGATAGTTTCTAATGGATGACTAGTTACAGATGTGATTCCTGAGGAGGCAAAATAAGCATCACCATTCAAGGGAGTCTCTAGTTTCTCCTTGGATTCTCCATTTTCTGATGAGGTGTTAGATTCTTCAGTTTTAAAATTGTTTTGTTCCTCATCCAACTTGGTATTGAGAGCAACACTGAGTGTGGCCCTACTGCCGTCATTTTTCATCATTTTGTTTTCCGAGGCCAGCTTGGCTAAAAAATGACTCTGGTCTAAGGGAAATTGAGCCTGAGGCACATTATCATGAGCATCATTGCTACTCATGCTAATACATGATAAAGAAACATCTGGAATAGCCTCCAATTTGGAACCATCGCGCAAGGATTCCTGAAGTTTCTTTATTGTTTCCTGAAATTCTTCTCCAAGAACTGCTTGATGTATGTTTCCTTCACTACCATAAGTTATAGATGAGGAAGACTGAAGAGGTTTTCTAAGTGAGGAAAAAAAAGATGTTCAAGCAGGTTTCAAGAAAAAATGATAAAGTAATGGTAAAGTTGACGGGAATAGATTAATACTTCAGACTATACCTGTTAAATGAGCGTCTTCCGGCACCATTCTTCCTAAATGTTGATCCACATGAGTCCAGATCCAGAGTTGTATCGGAATCACTCCCATCACTATAATCTATGTGTGTCAAAACCATCAAATCTGCCACACTCCTTGACTTTTCTTTCACCTGAAGAAACAACAAATTTGAATGATTCTTTTTGTAAGTTTTTTAAGCAATAAAGTCAACAGTGTAAATTTTAGTGGCCTCTACCTTCTCAGAAAATTCTCCCCTCTCAATGCGTATCCTCCATGTTTCGTCTTCAGTGTCTGAGCCTGATGACTCCAGGCGATGTTGAGAAAGACTGAGGCTCTCATGCCCATGCGAATGCAACAGTCCAATATTGTGACTGTAATTGAAAGCAACACATTATGAGAGGTCCAGATAGATGAAGTGATTTTATTGATTGAACTAATTCAAACCTAATAAAAGACGATGCAGCTGCTTGACCCAGTCTGAAATCGAGTGTGAACTTCTGATCTTGGCTTGTAAAGATAGTAGACTCAGGTTTGGAGTCTCGAGATGTGATCTGTGATGGACTTGGTTGAGCACTTGAATTCTGTGATGAAGAGGATGTTTTCTCCTGAGCTAAGACTTCATCTAAATCACGTATGGCTTCAGAAATGTTGCGAACAAATCGAACATCTTCTTCTGTGGATGTGTCCATGCCTTTCAACCATGAATCAAAGTCTCCCTCTTCAGCTACAGTTTCTAATTGGAATAAAAGAAAAAACAATTTGAATATGACCAATTCATTTTAAAATAAGGAAGTTTGAAAATAATTGTGAAAGAAAGAGAAATACCTGGAGCCTGTCTGTTTTTAATATCATGAGCACCTTCTTTTGACTCGGGATTATACAACTCATCCACAGATCCACGGAGATTTTGCAGGCTAGGAGATTTAAGAGCAACAAGTGGGGAGGGAATGAAGCCATCCCCAGTGCAGCTACTAGAAACTGATAACTGTGGTGAGTTAGCAGAGGCAGTAGTGCGTGATTTATCTGTTGCAGTATTCAACTCCAGGTGGGGCGCTGTGCTTGCAGAATTATCTTCAAGTGAAGCACATCGTTGTAACAGTACTGATTTTACAGGGGATGTCTGCATACTGGTTGTTCCAACCTGGTTGTCAATTTTAGGAACAGAGTTGGGTTTTGATAGCTCCCACCTTCTTTCAAAATCATCTAGGCTTGTTGTACTATTGTTATTGTTATTTGCACTTGTATGTGCTGGGGAGCTCTTGTGCTGAACCAGATGTTTGAGCATTGCAGCAACTCTCCATAACGGAGGTCGTTTCTCTGCTTCCACCCAACATATTTTCATCAAATGGTATCTGTAACAAATTTAAACATTTTAGGAATTTTTAATGGAAAATCCAAGACAGAAATACATACTTCTTTAACAATACTTACAAATTATGCACATGTGGTTGATTTTCATAAGTTGGAAAGGGCAAGTTGGTTGAACATTTTCCTAGGACTTGCTCGATAACTTCATCATCACTGAGGTTGGTGTAAGGAAGCTTACCAAACTCACATATTTCCCATAAAACAATAGACAAACTCCACACATTTGCACTAGCTGTGACTTCTTTAGTTTCAATAGTAGTATCAGTGCAGTGTAGTGTTTCTGGGGCTACCCATCTAATGGGTATAGCAAGATCACTCACACAGTAGTATTCGTCCTAAATTGAGAGAATAGCGCATCATGAAAAACTATCTATTAGACATACAATTTAAAATGGATAGGACAGCATAGAGATATGTTACCTTGAAAGTTTCAATGTTTGTTCCATAGTCCCCTACTTTCACTGTTAAGTCTGAAGACACTAAACAGTTTCTAGCAGCAAGATCACTGCAAGAAAAAAAAATGATCAAAACCACATCTTTTACAGTACATGCGACATAATGAGAGAAATTCAAATACTTACGTGTGAACAAACCCATTTTCTACCATGTGGTGCAGTCCAGCTGCTACTCCACAGGCCATCTCAAGGAGTACTCCTTGCTCACAGAATTTTTCGGCATTTGTTCGGTTTTCCGCTAGAAATGTCTTCAGCGTTCCCTGTTTAATTTTGAAAATTGTCAAATTTTTTGTACTAATACATGAAAGCAACATAAGTTGAGTAGATATAAACACCAGTGACTTACAGATGAGCAATCTTCTAGAAGAAGAAGAAATGGATGAGTTTCCAAGCATCTTCCAATAAGACGAAGAACATTAGGATGCTTCAAAGTTTTGTAAGGTTTCGCCTCATGAAGAAAGTAGGACTGATCAGTAGGAGTAGCATCTTCATGAAGTATTTTAACAATGACTTTTGATGTGGCATGTCCAGGAATTATTTCTTTGGCCTTTCCTTCCACCACCTACAAAGTTCAATTTATCAACAAGGGGTCACCATAAATACTTAAGAGATCAAGATAAGGTTTGTTTAACTTACCCTGCCAAACCATCCTCGTCCCAGTTCACGAAGGTACTGTAGTTGTTGGCGTGGAAAATTTTCAACTGAACCTTCTTTATGAAAAAAATTAAAAACAGGTATTAAAAAAAACAGTTTCACAACATAAATTGTTATATTATTAGATTGTTTTTTGTTGCTTAAAAAAACAAAACAAAAAAAACTTACCAAACCAATCATGAACTGATAGGCCATGGTGAAGTGTGTTTCCAAATGCAGCAGGCTTGCGGCGTGCGGCAGCAGCTGCAGCTGCCACCACATGGATATCAGGCAGCGGTTCAAATTGAACAACAGATGATCGATCCCCTGGTTGATTGAGTGTGGTGCCCAATGGTGGAAACAATGTTAACTCAGACGCTGCTCGGTGAGAATGTCCACTACCATGCGGAGCAGCAGATTCAAGGTTGTTTTGGGATGAAACACTATCAGTAAATTCCTGCAACAAATAGTTTTCAAAAACATTAATTAGTATAAAAGCATAAACAATAACGTTTAAAAATAGAGGTGAACAACATAGAATGATTTAAAATGAGTAAAATTGTCATGGAAGGTATACTGAAACGCAAAGTATACTGTAAACAAAAAAAACTAAAAAAAAAAAAAAAAGAGATAAGGCAGACACCCAGCATGTTACAGCAAATGCAAACCAGAAGGTTTTAGAAAACCTGTCAAGGAACACTAAGTATAACTAACTACACAGAGCAAAACAATTCCTAAAGAGTTTCATACACTACTTGTTGCAAAACAGAAAGATTACAAATGATTTGAAATAATAAAAAAAAGAGAGAAGGAAAAGGGGCATGCATTCAGT